TTCACTATGTTTACTGCAGTCCTCTTCCACTGACTCCACGGTTATCTACAAGCTCTCTCTCTCATCTCCTTCTCACACCATCTGCTCAGTGTCACCGTCAAACCCACGGTCAACTTGTCGTTTCCTATTAGTGTTCTAGTCGAGCTATGACCTGCATAGCGCATAATTTCACTCAACTGTATCCACAACGCGTGTACTATCTATTTCTATTTTCATCTGGGTATTTATCAGGTGACACTCGGAGTTTCCTACTGCAGCTTGTTAAAAACGGCATTCCAAGTCTCTGATTTATAAAAAAGAATTGACTAAACATTGGTGTTGAGAATCCGATTTGTGCTCGTAAGTATTAGTGATGAAGATTTGAGTGATGAATTTATGTCTGGTTTTTCTGACCCTACCTTAGATATTCTCATCCGTGCTGTCGCTTGTAGCTGAAACGAAGCTGCTTAGATTAGTAAGGGAATTGACCTCTTTTAAATTCATTCCGTTGAAAGTGATCGCTGTTTGCTGTTTTTGGTTGGTTATCTTCCTCATATCCATCTTCTCTGTGTTCACTTGGACTCCTGTCTTTATCACCTGTCTCTTCTGCCAACTTGTTACTTTTTGCATGTAAGTCTTCAAGTTTGTATAACATGAGGCATAATCATCTTAGATGTCCAGATTTTCCGCAGCCTTTTTATAGGTCTAACATATTTCTGCCTTCTGGTTTCTAACAGTCTGACGCATAACCCAAATATCAACACTACAGTCCAGCTGTTCTATACGTCTCTCTATGTCATTTTGAAAAATCTTTCTGCATACTATAATGGAGCTTCTGAGAGGTGCAGCCAAAGACTAATCCTTACATAAATTATTGTTGCCTTCTTGTATGCTACTTACTGGTGAAATATATCATCCAGTGAAACATCACAAATAGAAGATAGCTTTATCAGTAAATGGAGTACGTAATATGCAGAGCTTGTAATTTTCAATAAGAGTATCAGAGAATTATATACCCTTTTCAAAACACCTTTTTTCAGAAAATATCAACACTCATCATAAGACAGACAGTGTACGGATGAACACCAGCATTAGAACAATTGGCAGGCTGATTAAGGGATTGGTTTATACTACAGATTGGCCTACTTAAATCAATTTTTTTATTCATTTACGTTCCCACTGAAACATAGGGCTTCAAGCTAAAGGCTTGAATTTTCGGTATATGGTTGCTAGCCTAATGCCCAACCTTCCCTCTTTACCAGTCATATTACTGGCTTAGCGAGATAAAGGAGTGCGTCCGTGGCTGGGGATCGAACTCCAAACCATATGCGGTGTGTTTGGCGAGAATTCTATCACTGTGCCACCTTCATCAACAGCTGTCTTCTCCCAATACTACTCAAGATCGGATGGCCGACCAGAAAAGATTAGCAACAGGGAGCGATCTCTGGCAATGAGTGAACCAACCCATCAGGAACCAATTGTGCAACAAATATGCAGGGAGAAATGGAGGTATATTGGCTGGCCATATTCTGAGAAAACAAACCACCATCAAGTGACATCACACGACAGGCTGTCTCTCTCGAGTGGAAGGCAAAGGGGAAGTGGTGAATTGGTCGTCCAAGGGTGATATGGAGGAGGTCATATGAAGAGGAGATGAAAACGTGTGGGCAGACGTGGAGCCAGGTGAAAATGATGACGGAGAACC